CAAAATTCAGTCGGATATAGGAAAGGCTAACAGAATTGAAAGGAAAGACAAACAAAACTTTATATAAGTTTTCTAGAGATTGTGCAGTGTTGTGAGTCTTTGCTGTTTTACTACCCATTTTTGCTGTACTTTTTGGTGCTTTGAGCCCTACAAAATTGTAGGATGTAGGATGGGTTAAATGATTATCGGCCATGTCCAGTTAATGTCTCTCTTTATCCCTTGTTAATCCTCGGTACGCATGCAAAAACATGTCCAAAGAGCTAACCCATGACTTGAAAGTTTGCTTATAAACATGCTCCAAACAAAAATATAAGAAGTCCTATTATAATGTATAGGCCATGTGCAGGAAATCACTTTGTGCAATTTGCAGGAAATTATTTCCTGCACGTGTGGGAACACTTTGCTGCACCACCCTCTGATTTTCTTACATATGCAGGAATATTTCGCAAGGGCCACTTCAAAACTTTTAGTTAAAATCTGGAATATTTCTGCACTTTCGAAAGTGAAGGCCTTTTTTCACCAAAGTGATGCCGAAATATACACCCTCACTTGTAAAAATTTTTCTTATTTTGTTTGGAGACTGTTTATAGCTCTTATGCAAGAATAAGAATGTATAATCCTTGCCTAAAAGTTTTCACGTACAGACTTTGTGCATGTTTCAAAGCATGCATGTGCAGTAGGAGTACTCAATGGCCCAGCTTTTAGAATCAAGAGGGCTTTAGACAGCCTTCTGTTCCTCTGTTCCCAGTATATACCTCCAATGTAGGGCAGAGTGCTTCTCAAGTTGTGACAAAAAAAGAGTGCTATTCAGACTCAATAGGATTTTTGCCTTACTCTATGTTGATATTTGCCGAACATGCAACTAGGAACCAAGTGCTTGAAATCTGGTGCCAGGCAACATCAGGCAAAATATATCTGGATGATAGGGGTTATGTTAAAAGGAATGTGCATATAGGCTATTTTAAAAATTTTACGAAAACTGAAACTACATAGGGTCAAAAAAAATTTCCAATACGTCCGTTTCTTTCTGTTTACCGTTTACTATCGTTCCGTTTAGTTTCCGTTCAGTCTCCGTTTAGTTTTACCGTTCCGTTCCATTCCATTCCGCTCCGTTACTAATATTATAAGCAATAGAGGAGTTTAGCACCGCAGAACACAACAATGCCATACTCCAAGTACGTTAAATGTCGCGCGCTGTACTTTCATGGACGTGGGCTGACATCCTCCGCCATCGTCGACGCTTTGGCCGCTGAGGGGGAGGCTGCCACCAGGCAAGGAATTGCCAAAATGATAAAGCGAGTTCAGCGCACTGGCAGCCTCAAGAGATCCCCCGGAAATGGACGGCTACCTCCGGCTATCAGGGCTGCAGTGGATGCGCAGATGAGAATTGACGACTAAACCACAGCCACGCAACTGGAGGCAATTCTACGGCGGCAGGGAATACAGGTATCCAAGTCCACGATCCTCCGCAGCCGATCGGCCCTCGGGTGAACGTTCCGCGGTTCGGCGTACTGCCAGATGATTCGCCACGTAAACAAGGCTAAGCGTCTAGAATGGGCGACGCAGCATTTACACGAAGCTGCAAATGGCTTCTTGAACGTCATCTACACGGACGAGACCAGTATTCAGCTCGAGACCCACCGACGGTTTTGCTACCGCCGGCGCGGCGAGCCCCCGCGCCCCAAGCCCAAGTAAGCATTGCCACAATACACATTATACAGCATTACCTAGCTAATTATCGCTGTTAATTATCGCTCTTGTATTGCACTCTACACATTATACAGCATTACCTAGAAAGAAATTTTTGCGATTAATCAATTGCCTGGCCAGAACTAATCAGCCCTCTCATTTGCACAGGCCAAAGCACCCAGTGAAGGTCCATGTCTGGGCAGGCATTAGCATGCGTGGAAGAACTGGGATCCGCATCTTTGAAGGAATCATGAATGCCGAGGCCTATGTTACCATCCTGAGCGAGACTCTCCTGCCATTCCTGCATGAAGTCTATCCTGATGGACACCGCTTCATGCAGGATAATGATCCCAAACACACCTCTCGACGTGCAGCCCAGTTTTTTGAATCGGATGGAGTGAACTGGTGGAAAACCCCACCCGAAAGCCCAGATCTAAATCCCATTGAAAACTTATGGCACGAGCTGAAAGAATTTCTACGCTGTGAAATAAAGCCAACGACAAATGACGAACTTGTGAGGGGTATAACAACATTTTGGGAAAGTGTGAGCATTCAAAAGTGTGCCAGATACATCAGACACCTTCGCGAAGTGATCCCAAAAGTCATAGAAGACGAAGGTGGTCCTACTGGGTATTGAAATTCCCATGGGTCTGACGCTAAGCAGTACTGTTAATATTCACATATGTTTACCTGGCTCTTTCTTTCTTTCTTCTTACCTCTTTACTTACCATGGCTCAGGGTTTTGCTTTAGAGCTTGTAAAATCTGTACAAACGTAGTATATACGTGTAAGTGTGCAGCTATAATACAAGGATTGTGATTGGCCATAGTTCCATCTTTAACTCTCTCTGTTTAGAAAATTTAGTGGTTGTTACCCTATTGCAGCTAAATGTTTCGCTTTATGATTACTAAAGGACGTGCCTTCACATTGAAGGACTAAATTTAGTAACATCAGGAAGAATGAAGTTAGGTTCGGAGAAAGATATAAAAAAGGTCAGGTGACCACAGAGAGCAAGTCTGAGCTAAACTGCAGAGTCCTACGAAGACAGTAAGTCTAGTTCCAGTCACCCCAGCACATGCGTAGAGACATCATGTGTGATTTCAGAGTACGTGTCATAGTATTATATGCATAACATCACCGCTAAGTGCAGGGTGATGTGCAACATGTGACATGATGAGTGGCGGTATGCCATGGAGAGAGTTATGTGCAACTGGGCTTTCTCCTAAGCCTTCCGCAGCACTGCTCGATAGCCCTCATGCAGCGCCCCCACACTGGCTCGAAGTCTTGTGGCTTTGACCAGTGCTGTGGATAATGACCAAAGACAATCTTTTTGATCTTGTAGAGGCCCGTTTGAGGAAGAGCCAGCAGTGATTTCGACCCCATGGGGGTGCACTGCCTCATGATTTATGGCCCAAACACACTCTCCTTCGCCAGCAACTGCGCAAGGGTGCCAGGCATGTCGTTGTCTATGTAATGTTTGTAAAGGTCATTTGCTTCGTCAATTGTGTAATATGTAGAGTCTGGTGGTCGTGTCATAACTAGTGGTCTGTTCCTAAGTTTGGAATTTAAAGGCAAGGGACTGTTTGCATCACATGTCCGGTGTGGTACCGTCTGTTGAGGTAAAGTCGTCTGTTGTGGTAGCATCTGTTGGGGTGTCATAGTCTGTTGAGGTACAGTGGTCTGTTGTGGTAGTGTCTGTTGCTGTTGAGGTAGCATAGTCTGTTGGGGTAGATTTGTCTGTTGTGGTAACGTCTGTTGAGGTAGCGTAGTGTGTTGGGGTAGAGTTGTCTGTTGAGGTAGCGTAGTGTGTTGGGGTAGAGTTGTCTGTTGAGATAGCGTAGTGTGTTGGGGTAGAGTTGTCTGTTGAGATAGCGTAGTGTGTTGGGGTAGAGTTGTCTGTTGAGGTAGCGTCTGTTGAGGTATCTGTGAGTGTTGTGCTGGTAGCTGTTGTGGTTCAGTTACTTGGTCAACGAAGCTGTCAAAGTTGTAATTGTACATGTCTGTCAAGTAAAACAGCCTGTTAGACACCTGTTGCAGTTCACTGACGAGCCGGGCCTGGGTGTTCTGCATAGATATAATGGTGTTTTCCAGAGAAGACACCCTCCTTGACAGCTTCTCAGATTTTTGTTTGTTTTGAGAGTGTCACATTACCTTTTACTTTCAAACTTGGTAACGTGATAAAACTCATAGGTCTTAACTCCCTTAACAAATTGTGACCACGCCCACATTATTTGTTTGTTTGTTTACATGTAATTCGTATATGCGTTTAGGCGGATTGCTTACACTTCGAATTAAGAATTCATCTTGAGCTCAGAGAAACAAGTACATACTAAAGTAAATCTTTATCCAACGGGGAAATGAAAAAAACTAATAACGCGTCGATAACGAACTAAAATATCGAAACCGCGGCCAGTTTTACGATAAAAACGGGCCCTGCATCTAAAACTGTCAAGTTGCTCACCTTCCCCGTTGGATAAACAGTCAGAGGACTTTGCGTTTGTCTTTCTTAACGTAAAAAAGTAGCTATAGACTAAGCGGAACCCTTCCGCCTAAGCGAAAACAGTTGTGAAAAACTTACTACCCGTCCGCGTTCCGCGCATGCGCATATTCGTAAAATGACGTCCGTACATGGCGTTATTCCGTATATTTTCCGTGAAACGTTACTACGGGGGCGTGGTTACGTGATTCCGTCAAGCTTCCGGTTTGCTGCTCGCGGACAGGCCTTAAACGCACCAGAGTTTTCTGTGTTGAAAGAGGCACTGTAAAATGGTTGAAATGCCTACCGTTTTCAACTATTTCCTCCAAAAGAGCCAGGGGCTTGAGGGCTGTAAAGCATCCCCAATCAACTGAGTGAGATCTGTATCGGTCAGTCAGTGACATAAACGATATGATTACTATCTATACAAACCCTTGGTAGCTGAGGGGTTTCCAACACAGGTATATAGTAGCTTGGGGAGTAGCTGGAGGAGTAGTTGAGGGGTTTTGGTCGGAGGAAACCGGGAGGGGAGGTTGGGGGTTTTGGTCGGAGGAAGCCAGGAGGTGAGGCGAACGTGAGGGAGATGGAGGTGAGGCTACTGGAGGAGAAGCCGGGAGGGCAGGTTGGAGGTTCTGGTCGGAGGAAGCCGGGAAGGGAGGGTGGGGGTTTTGGTCGGAGGAAGCCGGGAGGTGAGGCGAACGTGAGGGAGATGGAGGTGAGGCTACTGGAGGAGAAGCCGGGAGGGGAGGTTGGAGGTGGAGGTTTTGGTCGGAGGAAGCCGGGAGGGGAGGTTGGGGGTTTTGGTCGGAGGAAGCCGGGAGGTGAGGCGACGTGAGGAGATGGAGGTGAGGCTACTGGAGGAGAAGCCGGAGGGCAGTTGGAGGTTTTGGTCGGAGAAGCCAGGAGGGGAGGTTGGGAATTTGGTCGGAGGAAGCCGGGAGGTGAGGCGAACGTGAGGGAGATGGAGGTGAGCGCTACTGAGGAGAAGCCGTGAGGGGATGGGGGGTTTTGGTCGGAGGTGAGGCGAACGTGAGTGAGATGGAGGTGAGGCTACCGGAGGAGAAGCCGGGAGGGGAGGTTGGGGGTTTTCAGCTGCCATTTCCCCTTCATTTGCTGCAGCATCTGCATGGATATGAACGTAGCATGCACTGTTGCACAAGAAAGAAGAGAAAGTTACCAGACATGGCGCCATGCTCAGTGACAATTACCATTCTAAACATTCCTCCTGCAGTTGATTGTAAATCGAAGGGAAAAAGACTGTCATTAAGCCCAAACATGTTTTTAACTAACCCTGACTCTTTCTCTTCTTCGTCACTGAATCATGTTCACACTCTCCCTCTCTTCTTTCCCTGTCTGTTCTTGGCAGCAGCTGAGATAGAAGTTATAAGTTCCCCACTATCTCAGGTCATATCATTATACTCTCACATTTCTTTTGCTTCTCAATCAGTGCAGAGTTCTCAACCTCCTCACTCTCTTGCTCTCCCCCGCTCCAACTCCAGCTTCCTCATCTCCTCCT